CGGACAGAGTACCGAATCCCACATCGCACCAAGTGGATCTGTCCCAAGGGGCCCCTCTTACAAGAAAAAAGTCCAAACGTTTACAGGGGGCCTGTATGTTTCGTGTTGGTCTCGGGCCGTACCACGTGAATCCATTGGATTATGGGTTAAAGGTTCTGAAGACATCAGTGAGCACCTGTGCTTCTGTGAACTGGGAAAGCAAGATGGTATCCGTTCTTAAGGGCTTGATTTTAAGAGAATCTAACCCTGGATTAAAGACAACATTCCAATCTCCAACAATAATTAAGTTTTCCGAGTTTGGAATATAACGTGACAAGGAGCTCAAGAATTCAATTCTATCCAGATAGTTTACCGGAGCATACACTTACGTAATGGCCCAATCCTCAGTTCTTATCGCCAATTTTATCCACGCCCACCTACCATAAATATCCACATATTGGTCTAAAACCTCTACTTCTAAATCCTTATCTACCAATATCGTGACACCTCCTTTGGTGCTATTCGCTGGGGCCCACACTTGTGGGCCCAACCACCAATCCTGTAGTTCCACTAATTTCTCTTCATTTAATTTCGTTTCTTGGATACATATGATTTGTACGTTGTTTGAATGTATCCATGCTCGAAGCTTTTTTACATCTGCTGTTAGAATCTCCTAGTCCTCTTACATTCCAGTTTGCGCATCTAACCCTTGAGGGTAGGACCATTAACTGGGCCCTTGCCGCAAGGCTTTTGGATGGGGCCTGGTTTCATCGGTTTGCCCCTCCCTGCCCCTTCTTGAGGGCCAGGTTTCTTCTTGGTACCCCCTCCCTGCTCCTTTGCGACTGGAGCAATCAGAGAAAGGGGGGGGGCAGAGATCACTCTCTGCAAAAGGCACTGAGAACAAGAAATCTATCAGGTTAGTCTTTGCAATCCATTCAGCCACTGCAAATGCTGTCACTTCGTCTGATATTGCTATATCATGCAGGGAGTCTAGTCCTACGTCCAAAAAGTTGGCCAGGGGAATCCAATGGATAGGTTGACTCCGCAGGCTCATTATTGATTGAGCATCTTCTTGAATAACGGTGAAGACCACATGCAGTATTATCTTTGTGTCAGCTGGAGTGTCGACCAACATCCTTCCACTTTTCGGCTCCGATAAGATTGCACATGTGCAGCAATCCGCTAAGATTTTGGCTTTAATTTCCCTTCTGAGAGAATTTTGTAACATGATGTTTGGGGTTTGCAGGGTGGGGAGTATGAGGGATTCATCCTCTCCTACCCTGGTAAACACCATTGGTCCATGGGAGGAGCTCGAGCAGATAATAGGTAATTGCAGTTCCTTTACCTTTGTCATTCTTCTATCCTTCGTTGTTATTGTTTGTAGTGGAAGATCAAAGGTCAAGGCTTGCTTGGCTGATTTGGATGTCTGCTTTTTCCTTCTGAGTGTTTTTTGGTCTGTGTCAGGGCCCTGAGGGGAAGCTGATTCCCCCCTTTCCTTGTTATGCCTCTTTGGCACAGATAACCTGACTTTTTTTGACGGCGTTGAGGCGTTTAACCCCGACTGCTGTATCCGAGTTTCCCCGGGAGTGGAATCCTTATCTGACATCGAGATTACCTCCCGACAATCTGCAAAGTCATCGTCCGAGGGCGTTCTCAGTACTATAGGGCGTGTTCCGGATTCTCCGTTTCGGTTTCATAAGACTCATTCGAATAGATTGATACGGGTTCTCCTCTGTTTGGCTTTGATAGGGCTTCCAATCCTATTGTTGCATCTCCCTCCATATCCTCCTCATCCTCCCTCTCTTCCTCCGAGGAGAGAAGACGATCCTCACTGTCGTACTCATACTCATACTCGTCATCTTCCTCTTCCTTGTCCAATCTCTCCTCTTTATCTCGATCTTCCTCTTCCCCTTCGTCCTTCAACTGGTCTTCCTCCTCCAGATCTCGTTTGCGCTTTTCTCTTCCCCCTGCCATGGCGTCTTCCTCCATGTCATCTTCAACATCCTCAATTTCCCGCTCTCCCTTTGTCTGCATTACCGTATCCTTACTTCCCTTGTCCTCCCCATCCTCATGCATTTCATCCTTCCCATTTGCGCCCTCTATCTCATCCTGAACCTTTTGCCCTCTTTTATCCCCGTCCGTTGTTGGCTAGGGGGGGTCCGATTTCCCTTCCTCACTTCCCTTATTAACGCTTTCTTTGGGAGAAACCGGTTTCCCATTCACTCCGTCAGTTCCACCTGTATCATCTTTTTTTCCTCCCCGCGGGATCTTCTCTTGCCCACTGGGCTGCTTTCGACCGGGTTTCGGGTCCTGCCCCTTCCCCTTAACAGCATTGGCATAGCTTGTCCTTCCGTTCTTTGCACATTCAGAGTCGCCCTCGTAGTGGAAATGTTTCCTACATGCTGGGCAGCAAGGGGTATTGACACATACTACTTCCAATTCGACATACCCATCTTTTCCCAAATCAACTACTAAGTAATACTTGTATCTCAACCGCGCCACTGATTCCAAGTCAAATCGAATGTTTAGTAGGTTTGGAGAATCATGGTCCTTGTAGGCCGGGTACTCCCTCACTACCTTTCCGAAGGCATCTTCGACCGCGCCATATAGTGGGGCCAGGGCTGCAATCGGGACTTGTTGACACCATATCCAAAAGAATTTATACTTTGCAACCTCATGCCATTCCCACAACTCCTACTCGGTCATCCATGGTCTGAAGGAAACAGAGTATTGTTTGTCATCTAATTTTACAACCGTCTGACCCATTCGGAGCATCCAGTCTGCAATCTCCTTCGACGATGCCACATACGCCGCTAGGTTTCTCCCCTCATTATGAAATAGACCTCTCTTAGGAGGGGCTGAAATTTGGGATGTTGTGGCCCATCCGTTCTCATATACCCTCACCACTCGCTCCTTCACGCTCACCGGAAGGGACGTTGAGTCATCTCCGAAGAAGATTGACACCGCATGTTCTTTTAGCCACTCGGCCTGAATTCGGTAAAATTCAGGATTCACTGTGACACGGACGTAATCATCCCCTACTTCTACCTGATTTGGCGCCAGTTTCCTTGGGAGGATTCCGTCCGTATAGCATTTTGACAAAATTCCTTTGATTCGTTGCCTTTCTTCATTTGACGAGGACAGGGTAGGGCCTGTTGGGCCCTGGTGAGCTTGGGGTGTCTCCACCCTTTCCATTTGTCTAACGGCCGAGGAGCATTCCTCAAATTAGAAATCTAAATGCTCCTAACTTACTATAAATTATAGATAATAGTCTGAATCAGAGGCTTCCCTTAATATTGGGAGTACATCATACTTCCTACCCTCCCCGGTTAAGGCGAGAGTTTACCTGGGGCATCCACCTTGTCCTTCCAACAACACACTGCTCTTTGTCACATCACCACATCTTGACCACACCAAGGGTTACTAAACACTTCAGGCAGGTACTCGTGGAGGGGCACGGCCCTGACTCCCGATATTCCACGGGCAGTACACACCATATCAGCTATGGTAAGAGGCGACGCACGCGGGCCTATTCCCTCGGAATTACCGAGGGAAAAGGACTTGGTGTGAACGAAGCTTTTCGATGTCGTGCCTCCTGCGGGAATTGCCTCTACCGTCTCCGGTAGGGTTTCGCGCTGTTAGCATCGGCTCGGAACGCAGCGCTGCCCATCCCCTCTCTCGTTCTCAATTTTTTTTTTTTTTTTTTTTTTTTTTTTTTTTTTTTTTTTTTTGGGTGTGTATATGTAGCAGGGCGGAATCCGTGATGTGTTCTAGTATTGTTTCCTCAGATTTTCGAGCTAATTTTGGGTGTGTGTACCGAACAATGTGGATAGGGTGTTTGCTGTCTTTTTCAAGCTAATTTTATTTTTCTTTTTTCACAGTTANCTGCTCCGCCACTCTCCCCATGTGGATAGGGTGTTTGCTGTCTTTTTCGAGCTAATTTTGGGTGTGTGTACCGAACAATGTGGATAGGGTGTTTGCTGTCTTTTTCAAGCTAATTTTATTTTTCTTTTTTCACAGTTAGGTATGCTTTTTGGCCGTTCTATGAGCTTTGATTCTTGATCTCAGTTGATATGGGCCTTCCCGAGCCTACTGTAGGATGTTAACTCTGTGTCGTTTCAGGACTTTGCAGACTTTGGCCTCTATAGGTCTGCAGACCCCTTTTTTTGTGGGCCGTCCACTGGACGCCAAGAGCCCTGTATTTTTTTAGCACAATATTTTCGAGCCTGGTACCAGAGCTAGCCGACTTGGCCCGTGTTTTGACTTTTCGGGCACTGGGCCCAGTTAGGATGTTAGGCAGTGATTGTTTCCCACGAGTAGTATAAGTAGATTGTTGACGATAATCTCAACCTCCTGGGTTGGCCAAAGGATCAATAGTGCGGCGGCGGGTTTGACGGAAAGGCGGTGGATCATTGGTTTGATGGTTTGATCGGATGTGCTGTTACTTCTTCCTGAGTATCTTCATCAATCTAGCCTATTGGCTTTTTCACTACTCGGTGACTATGTGCATTGCTACGTGTGCATTTTTCCACATCCGCTGGATTGCACGTGTGAACTTAGCTGAAGAGGAACTTACCGGGCTTGAGTGAGCACATTTATGCTGTCTACGTCTTCGTATACTTTGACTAGTCGAGCTTCTTGTAGCTGATGTATCGCTTTGGCATCTTCGTGTACGGATATGATCTCCTTGTACGCTGTGGGGATCGGCACGACACGATGTCTTCACAAGGTCATCACGACCAGAACGAGCGGGATCGAGAGTGGGGCGAGTGGGACCGCGAGCGAAGGGATAGAGATCCAACTAACAATTCGGGGGAACGAAGGCCGTATCGGCCTCTAACATGCTTTGCATGTAATGAAGTTGGGCACTACGCCAATTAGTGCCCTAACAGGAGTAAGCGCTATCCTGACGCAAGACCATCGACATCTTCGGACTCACGGCGAGCAAGGTCGCCTAGGAGGCATGAACCGAGGGGACGTGAACCATCTCCTAGCCTGGGTCCGGAGATTCGGAGTACCATCGCGAAGCTAGGCAAGAGTGTTGCCGTAATGGAGGAACACTACGCAACCGAACATGAGAAGCGTGAGCAGAAAGCAAGGAGGAAGTTAGAGAAGGAGGAAGCTCAACGACGTGAGGCAGAGAAAGCTGCACGCTTGGAGGAAGAGTGCATCGCTGCGGAAAGGAAGACATGGAAACAAACACAGAAGAAGATGATTGATGAAGAGAGACGCGCGGAGTTACAGAAGGACCTACAGATTCAGCTTGCTATGCACGTCGGCGATCTGGAGGATCGTCTCGTTCAGCGGTTACATCAAGTTGTAGCTGCGCCTACAAGACTCATACGAGGCAAGAAGAAGGTGACTTACCAATCGGATGTCGACGAGTCTTCCTCCAGCCAGGGTGATGGCAGCGATACTAGCGTCACACAACAGCTCAGCGCTTGCGCCGAGCGATTGGCTATTTCGGAGAAGAGGAAACGGGGCCCCGAGCCTGTGTTCGAGGATCCGAGCCCACCTATGGAGCAACCTGCCAAGCGCACCCCTAAACGAGGCATCTTGAAACCAGTTAAATTGACTAGACGTCTGACTCGATCGAAGTCAAAGAAGGGCGGAGGAGGACTTACGCCTACGTCAGCCTCCAAGAAAATCGCCACTCCATTGTCCAAGAAACGCACGCCGGCGAAGAGGAGGACGCCGACTCTGATGCCGCATTCGAAGGCTACACTGGAACGCTTGCGCTACCGGGACAATGCCCTACGCGAGTTGAAGGATCTCGACGCCACGGAACTACAACGGATTTGCCGTAAGGAGGATATTCACTACGATAAGAAGATTGAAGCGATATTCGACATAGCCGATCACAGGACCGAGCGGGCCTTCGCCACTGCACTGGCCAGAGTCGAACGTATCGCGATCTCGGACGATACGAAAGCTGAGCAGGAAGATGCACCTGCGAACGATGGGTGAAGACCGTTATCAATACCGCAGCTCTGTAAGGTTTGTCGTTTTCTTTCTCATCTTCGATGCGAGTCCACGAAAGTAGACAAGTGTGATGAGAAACTGCTTCGTCTAGCCTTTTTCTTGCTAGTTGTTTAAAAGTAGATCCGTTGGGCTAACAAATTCCTTGATTGCTGGTTGAACTTGGATGACCGCCATGGCTTGGATTTCCTCGATCTTAACGATGGCGTGTAAGTTTGGGGTTTCCCCCTTCTGTAAATTGTTCTATATTGGTAAATCCACACGTGATGTTGATACGCGATGGAGGGAGTATATGTATGCCTGCCGTAATCGCAAGCCCTCACACTTCCATAGATGGCTAGGTATAATTACCTACTGCTCCCTATCGACATTATCGTTGGTAGTGATTTGGAAATATTGGAGCGTGTATACATCAAGCTTTGGTCCCCATTCCTTAATACTAATGGGTGTGCCAAAAAGGGCACTAAACTCAGCCGTAACAAAGCTGGTAGGAAGGAGCGAGCTAGGGGCAAGGGGGTTACCGTTTCCAACTGCAATTGGAAACCGATTCGTTTCCGTCTAACAACTGCTCACGAATGGATGTTTGATTTCTATGCTTTCTTCGACAATATTCTGCAAACTGGTAACATTTCAGTGGATTTCCGTACTCAACCAGGGAATATTTGGCAACCTAGCTGGGGTAAGTTAATCAAGGCTTTTGGTGGCACTAAGCTAGTGCATGTTTCTGGAACATTTTTTTTGAAAGATTGTAAATCACTGCTTCAAGCAGGAGGTTGTTTTTCTGTTCTGCATGTGTGCAAATGGTCGGCATGTTGTGGTTTTCTAAAAAAGATCTTGATTGGTATCCTTCGGAATCCTCGTCATGTCTCTGTGCTGCGTAACTGGGGTATGAGATCCTACTTACGCATATACCGAGTTATCAAGGATTTCTCCAGGAAATCAACTCGGAAGTATCTATGTCGACTTCTTTCGCGCTGCTTTCGTGATCGTTTCGGGCTGAGTCTTAGTGCTGATTTGATTTTTCGTATTCATTTTGATGACCATATCATCATCTCTGAAGTCCGTAAAGCGGTGAATGACGCTATTATGTTACAAAAGTTGCCGAAGTGCTTCCTGCACTGGGCGCGGAGGAAAGTTCGGATGGTTGGGACAAAAAACCCGGCCGTGGCCGATTTATTGCACAACATGCGTAGTCTCTCGACATGCAATGTGTTGACTTGCACTTGCGCAGGTCTTGACCTCCCGCGCTCGGAGAACCATGTTTCGTTCCGGCTAAGCAGGCTCGGAAGGATTCACCCCCTGCTTAGTAACGCCAACAACGTGCCATGTGCACGTATCGATGATCGCCTACCCTCCTTTCGCGAGGAATTGCGTTCCAGATTCGGTAATTGGCATAACTCCGTTGAGGCTCCACCATACTTCAGTGATGATGTATTGTCTGCTTGTTTTTCTTCTGCCACTAATAATAAACGTTGTCTTTTTTTGCATGAAGTCCTGGAGATCAAGCACCGTTTTGAAGGTTTGGTTTTCACTGCCGTGGACCGGAATCCCGACGAAACGGTGGTCATGTCCTTTGATTTATTACAAGGCGATGTTAAATACTTATGTCCTGAATCCAGGATATCGTATTGTCGATTGCCCCGAGAGCCTTGTGCTCCGGGAGTTTCGGGAGGATGTCACTTCAGCTGGCCTGAAATCCATTGCCAGATGGGATAGTAGTGGCAAGTTTGGGGCAGCCTACGTTTTGCCTATGCACAAGGATTTGAGTCGTTATAGTCCTATTTGTCCCTCATTCAGCGAGCCAACGACTCGTACGGGACGAGTCGTCTCCAAGGCTTTGAACTACTTGTTAAACACGATCCCAAAAACACTGGCACTTTAACATGTCAGCTGTGTCGGACTTGACCGCAAAGTTGAGCTCCGCCAATATGAAGTTGCTCCAGCTCGGGGCTAACCGTGTTATTAAGTCCTATTCTTTCGATATCAAGGACATGTTCACAAAGCTTCCTCATGCTGATATCCGCCGTGCGGTTGATTGGCTCATTCAGTACTGTCAGGACAAAGGTCATGCATTCGTACGTGTCAATACACGGGGTAAGGGGTCCAGTTTTGGAATGACCACGGGAGGGGATCATTGGAGGAAACTTTCTCTCAACGATATCCGCTCCTTTGTTTTGCTCGAACTGAATCATACCTACTTTTATGCTACGGGAGTCTTAATGCAACAGGATGTAGGAATACCCATGGGGAAAAGCACTAGCCCTCCCCTGACATGCATCCTGTGTGCCTTTTCGGAGTACAGCTCTACCTGCGGAATCGGTAAGGCCGCTCGCTGCATTTTCGCTATGCGTTTGATGGACGATGTTATGATGGTTACTTATTCTCGCGGAGGTGATGACCATGCATTATTGGCAACTTTCCAGACTTGTTACCCAAGCAATCTGCTGCTCAAAAGGACCGACACTGGTACTGGCACCCTGGACTTTCTTGGATGTCAAATTCGCGTTGCACAACACTTTCCATACATCGGCAGTATTCTGACTTCAAGGAATGACGAGCGACTACGGAGCTCGGATCGTCTGGAAATCTTGAACGGCCAATCCTATTTCTCTTTGGGTTGTAAACGGCAAAAGAGTGCCATCATCAGCGGTTACCTCCATCGGATCGACCGGAATACCTCCATTCGCCTGGAGATCCCGAACACAGTGCGTGTGTTACGACGCGAACTCTCCCTGAAGGATTTTCCTGATCCCTTTTTCAAACAGGTCCTCAAACGCTTCGCTTTCAGATGCAATGATATTTGGAAACAAACAGTTAATCTGCTGTACTGATTTAGGTGATTGAGTGTATGTACCGGTGTACTCTAAGGAAGTACCGACAGCCTTGCTTATGCTGTTCCTTCTGTTTATTTCCTGGACTTACATTCTTTTTCGTAGCTCGAGATCCGGATTGTACGTCTTCGAATCCGGACAGGGATTTTCCTTTTCTTTGTTTTCCTCTTAATTGTGGATATGGTGTTTGCTGTCTTTTTCGAGCTAATTTTATTTTTCTTTTCTCACAGTTAGGTATGCTTTTTGGACCTTCTATGAGCTTTGATTCTTGATCTCAGTTGATATGGGCCTTCCCGAGCCTACTGCAGGATGTTAACTCTGTGTCGTTTCAGGACTTTGCGGACTTTGGCCTCTGTAGGTCTGCAGACCCCTTTTTTTGTGGGCCGTCTACTGGACGCCAAGAGCCCTGTATTTTTTTAGCACAGTATTTTCAAGCCTGGTACCAGAGCTAGCCTATTTGGCCCATGTTTTGACTTTCCGGGCACTGGGCCCAGTTAGGATGTTAGGCAGTGATTGTTTCCCACGAGTAGTATAAGTAGATTGTTGACGATAATCTCAACCTCTCCTGGGTTGGCCAAAGGAAGAATAGTCTGGCGGTGAGTTTGACGGAAAGGCCGTGGATCATTGGTTTGATGGTTTGATCGGATGTGCTGTTACTTCTTCCTATGTATCTTCATCAATCTAGCCTATTGGCTTTTTCACTACTCTGTGACTATGTGCATTTCTACGTGTGAATTTTTCCACATCCGCTACCAGCCGGGCCGCCAGGGTCCCCCGTGGTCAGGGTCCCCCGTGGCCAGCCCGTGCAAGGACCAAGGAAGGCCCCAGCAAAAAAAAAAAAAAACGAAAAAAAAACTATGTTATGCAGAAAAATAAACTGAAAAACTTTTGCCTCAGGGTCACATCGAAATTCTTCACGAAATTTAGAATAAAAAATAAAATTTAAAAATATTTATTTCATTTTTATTTTATTTGGCCCGGACGGGCAAGTGACCCCGGGCCACTCTGGTAGCCTAGGGGTGTGTGTGTGTGTGTGTGTGTGTGTGTGGGCGTGCGTGCGTGCGTGTGTGTGTGTGAGAGAGAGAGAATGTGTGTGTATGTGTGTGTACGTGCGTGTGCGTGTGTGTGTGTGTGTGTGTGTGTGTGTGTGTGTGTTTGTGTGTGTATATATATATTTCGCCATATGTGCAGATGTGTATACCCGCTTTAACATGTACACGCTCACACGCGCACACACGCATCCACACGATTGTTCACGGCTGCACGTGGATGCACGTGCACACACGATCACACACACGTGCTTTGCAGAGAGCGTAGTCATCGAGGGGGCAAAACTCCCATCCTTCCAGCTCCTCCGCCTGCCACTGCGCCCCTTCGCTCCGTCTCCTCTTCATCATCACCCCGCTTCCAGCCATCTTTTCCATTGTCACGGCAATGGGCACAGCCCGCACATTATCGTTTCCACACGTCGGGTGCATTGCCATACACTAAAAAAAAAAAAAAAAAAGGAAAAATAAATAAATTCATAGCGGCATCTACTTCCGAAATTTTCTCCCGATCGGTTTTCTCTCTTCTCCACCTATAGGGCAAAGGTGGCGGGAGCGCAAAGACTCTCTCGCCCCGCGTACCCGTTTATTTGTTTTTTTTTTTTCGGGGGGGGGGGGGCGAAGAATTGTGTCCTTGCATTGCACAATGGAAAGGAGGCCGGGAGGGAGATCCCACTAGCATTGTATGTGGAGTAGTGTAGAGGGCGTGTGACCCGCCTCCGCCGTCGATGGGAATGGGGATCGGTGGTTTTGTTTTTCCTGTATTTTAGCCCTCGAAAATATATGTTTTTTCGGAGCATCCCATTGGGTGGTCTTTCTTTTGTTTGCTTGCCGTGTTCCTCTGGGGGTCCTGAACGTGAGTGAAAATCAGACCCATTTTTTTTGTGTTGCTTTTCACTCACCTTTCACTCACCTTTGGGTCATGGCCCATGCGTGGTAGAGAGGCCGAAAACAAAATTTTTCGGTGTTTCCCATCATGAGGGAATGTCAGTCCGTGTCAGACCCTTGTCCAAGTTGTCTGTAGTCCCTGCAAAGGTTTCACATGGGCAATGCTGTTGTCCTCTTCCTTCGACATGCATGTGCCCCCTTATTTTTTGGGAGGTGTTTGGGAGGGTTCGATCCCCTCACCTACAGCAAATGGTGTATGGAGTTACTCTTGCCCTTGTTTTTTTACGTTTATTTTCCCTATTTCACGCTGCCACCCACCTGTCCCCCACCCGTCCCCCACCCGTCACACTAATCCACATACCTGGCTAGTGGGATCTCCCAGCGTCCCTATCTCATTTCCCAACGAGATAATCAATCCTTCCATAAACTCAACCTTGGAGCTCACACCAAAAAAAAATAGAGTTTTCTGTTTTGGGCAACAAACGGGTGAGAAGTGTGACCTGCCCGGAGGTCCGAAATTAGAGTTGGGAGTAGTAGCCGATTCCCTTTTTTTTTTTTTTTTTTTTTCGTTCACAAACACATGCTGCAATCTATATTCTTCGTGGGGAGCATCACGTGCTGAGACCAGGGCTCAGCGTCCCTTGTGAAATATTCATAGGTGAAAGTTTGAGAGAAAAAAACACACGAGCATGAAGCAAACAACCACTGTGCTGGAAACGGGGTCCAGGCCTTTGATCTCTTTCGGATTTAGGATCCAGACGGCAAGATCAAGGCAGGTACTACGGCATCGGCCCTCCTACTCCACGTGTTCTCTCGCTGCAATGGCGTGAAGATCACAAGTCGTTAAAGAATCTATCTTGAAGAGAAAAGAAAAAAAAAAGCAACCTTAATTAGAGAGAATATGACAAGCATTACAAGGATTTCGGAAGAAAAAGAAACCTTCTGTTCTGCTTAAAAGAAAAAGTGATTGAATAATCAGCATCATCACGCCACAGTTTTTCTGCCCACCGTGGCGGCAGCCAAACAAGGGGAAAAGTGGTTTCAGACGCAGAGCAGCCATGAATCTCTGGGCTATCCTGAAGCTCTGGGGCTACGCTACCCTGAATCGCCTGGGATCTCTTTCATAAGGCAACAACGACGGAGAGGACAGCCATGACGAAAGTAAGGAGATGAAGAAAGGGAATGAGAAGAGAGAGGGGTGGCGGCCTCAGACGTCGGCTTCTGTCGGAGCATACATGCAGTTGGGACCGGCTAATCTCCAGCTCGAAGATGCGGCCGTCCGTAGAGCCGACGTACAGGAACAGCCGACCTTCCAGCTCCTGAAGAGCCAGGCTTCCAATCCCGGTGGCCTCGTGGCTGTTGTAGCGCGCCACAACCTCCGCGCTCTGTGCCTTGCCGCATCTACTCCTCATCTTCACCCATACAAGCCCGGTCGAAGGCTTACCTGTGATGGACACAGTATCCGGGTCATCAACGCCACCTGTGATGAACAGATTACAACCGTCCAATGTCGCTGCGATATCCGTCGCTGCTGTATACTGAGTCCCGTAAAATGCACTAGACGGAGTCCTGTAAGGCGAAATGGCGAAAGGCTTGGTCTCGATGCCACGGCCCATCACAGGAGTGAGTTTGGAGGTCGAGGGATCCACTCCAATCACATCCATTGACATGGTATTCATAAGGTATATGCACCTTCCGCTAGAGGTGACGCTGTGAGGGCTCAAAGAAACATCGCTGCCACGCATATCTCTCTCTGGATCAGGCGGGCTGCCAAGCCGGTGCACGGTGTGAAAAGGGTCCCCCAGCGTATCACCACCGTCGGATTTAACCGGGTAACCAGATTCGTCCACGTCAGCAGACACTAGGCGGACCCAGAGACGGCCGCCGCCCTTGACTACATCGGCAGGGGTGAGGAAGCTCAGAGTGGCGAAGAGTTTCGTCTTGCTGCGGTCGAAAGCCAACCCTTGAACTGACATCACGTCACGCGTCAGATTCATGATGAACGATCGACTGCCGTTGCTCGTTGACAGAGACGTGAGTAGCCATCTCTTGAATCCAGACGAGGACAAGACTAGGTGCGTGCCATTCTTGGCGATGTCCATGCAGGAGAGCGTAGCCATGGATGGAATCGATGACATGAGTGGATCGGTCCGGTCTTCCTGGTACAGAATGGGCGACGAGACTCTCTCCCCGTCCGTACTGTTCTCCGGCCACCAGTAGCTTAACACTGTCTCGTCTGCTATAGGCTTCAACCCCTGCCTCACGGGCAGCAGATCTGCCTGTCGCACGGACATCTCTCTAAAGGTAAAGCTCCAATCGGAAATCCCCACTGACTCATTCGTTTCTAAGTTTTGTTGATGAGTATAGTTCTTTGTGACGCAGCTCTGCTCGAGGATAGAGAAAAATCGCGTGCTGTTGGGGAGAAACACTATATTTCTATAAAACGTTTGGCACTCATAACCCGAGCCTGAGGATTCATTGAGTGGGGACCTGGTGGAATTGAAGAGCGCCTCGGGTGTGTGCACGAGCACGACCCTCGGCGTCCCGGCTGCGCCGTTGACGTCACGGACAAACAAATCCTGCGTGACAAGCGTGATGGACGGCGACAGATCTTCTGAAGCGAGCGACCGGTCGTCGGCGGTACGCATTCCGACGCCGGGCGAGCCCCCATGACCGTTGGTGTATGATAGGGAATCGCCCATAGCCATGGCAGATGACGGGAAACGATGACGGTCTGTTTCTTTCTGAGCGGCAACGACGAAGCCGAGCATGCAACTGCAGAGTGTGGACAGGAAGAGCAGCCGCAATGTCTGCTGTGCTATTGCACAGAAAGAGCTGTACAGTGTCCACCAGCGAAGAGAGGCCGCCATATCCTCCGACCTCGTTCTCCAACGGTCCAACCAGAACCCCTTATCTCGCTTTCGTTCGGTTTCCTAAGAAAAACATAGAGACTAAATGCTGTGATCCTGGTTCGTTGATGATGGAGAAGTCAAAACGAAGACGACGTCGACGACGAAGAAGAAGAAGAACAACAAGAAGAAGAGAGAGGAGAGGAAGGAGAGGAAGGAGAGACGACGACGACGACGAAGAAGAAGAAGAAGAAGAAGAAGAAGAAGAAGAAGAAGAAGAAAGAAGAAGAAGAAGAAGAAGAAGACGAAGACGAAGAAGAAGAAGAAGGAGAGACGACGACGACGAAGAAGAAGAAGAAGAAGAGGAGGAAGGAGAGACGACGACGAAGAGGAAGAAGAAGAAGAACAAGAACAAGAAGAACAAGAAGAAGAACAAGAACAAGAAGAACAAGAAGAACAAGAAGAACAAGAAGAAGAGAGAGGAGAGGAAGGAGAGGAAGGAGAGACGACGACGACGACGACGAAGAAGAAGAAGAAGAAGAAGAAGAAGAAGAAGAAGAAGAAGAAGAAGAGGAGGAGGAAGACGGAGTCAAATCTAGGCCAGCGCCATTCCACTGGTCCTCTAGCCACCACATCAACACTCTCTGATTGGCCGCCTCCTCTTATTGATCACATAACATGAATGAACGAACAAAGACTCAATGTCCGATGAATCTTCCACTGCTCCTCTGGAGAAAATACCTCCTTCTCCCTATTCACCGCTCTTCCCAACGATAGCACTGCAACTTGAGAGGAGGGCATCTCCCCAATGAAGTCACATGAGGGAATATGACAAACCAAGGGAGTGCTTCAAGACACTCGGGCCGCCGTACAGAGATATAACCATGGGGTCTCTCTATCACAGAATTTTGAGAAACCGAACACGGGCAATGGATGCCGGAGAACGGCCCCACTAGCACAGGAGGCAGGGTACGGTCCATCCAGTGTGACACTGTGTGGCAGTGGCATGACAAGAACGAAAAGAAAAGGGGGGGGGGGAAAGGAACCTGTGAGGCAGTGGCACGACAAGAACGAAAAGAAAAGGGAAAAAAAAAATGGGGGGAAAAAAAGGGTTCCTTTTTTTTCCCCTTTTCTTTTCGTTCTTGCCGTCCCACTGCCACACATTGTCGCACCGGATGGACCATACCCTGCATCCCGTGCTACCGTCTTCCCCCGAATACAACGTACGGTCATTATTACTGAAAGATACCCTAAATACAGCTAAAATGACCGGGGGAAGAAGGTAGTGGGGCCATTCTCCGGCGGGCCTCCACCGAGAGAGGTAACCTCCCTTCACCAACGAGAGGTAGAAAGCTATGTTTGCAGGGGTCCCCTGTATAGCCGTAGGAGTTGTGGTAGGTAGTTAGTGAAAGGAAAAAGATATGTTCCATGATGACATGGCAGAGTGCCAGTTAAAAAAAGATATGTGAGGTGAGAGAAAAATATATGGCTGTCCCCCGATGAGGAGAAGACAGTCTTCTTTTTTTTTTTTTCTAATTCTTTAAAAAAGAAGACAGTTTTCAACAACAACAACAACAACAACAACAACAACAAAAATAAATAAAAAAATAATAAAAAATCAGGAAGAGGGATTCCTAACCATGAGATCACAAATGATCCAATGCCATTGATCACAAAGTGAGTCCTCCATACACATCCTCTACAAGCGCCACCTTTCTCAAAAAGAAAGAAGCTTGGCACTGATGGTGACGCCCTCCATACACACCCAGGGTCCTGGAGTGCTTCAACCAAAAACCTGGAGGGGGAGATCCCACTGCCGATGGATGTGGAGTAGTGGAGAGGTTGTGTGACTCAGAAGCGCCGTGGGTTCTACCGGATATAGGAGGTGTGTTTTTGTTTGTATTTACGGCGGCGACATATGTGTGTTTTGGGGGCCTTCCCATTGGGTGGTATTTCTTTTCTTTTTGAATAGGTGTTCCTCTTGGGGTCCCGAACGTGAGTGAACATCATAACGATTTTTCCGTGATGATTTTCACACACCTTCTACTCACCTTTATGTCATTGCCCATGCTTGGAAGACATGCCGAAGTGATTGTGGTTTGTGAAATGTTGGGGGGGTTCTATCCCCTCACCGACAGCACATGCTGCATGAAAATGCTCTTGCCGTCCTTTGCCTAAAGTGAATTTCTGTGAGAGCAAAGGAGGAGCGTCCACTGCGGCCTATTTCAAGCAAGCCTCAGATTATCGTCCATGAATTTGGTCAGTTTGCTCACTCGCATGCAGCCTTTTTTACTGAGACACTGAGACAGTCATGGTCAGTGAATCATACCTTGAAAACCCAAAAAAAAAAAAAAAAAAAAAAAAAAAAAAAAAAAAAAAAAGTGAATCGTACCCTGACATCTGACACCCCTCCTGGAGCAGACACGGTAGATGGAGCACTTTCTTTTCTTTTTTAGCAATTTTTCTGGTCATTTCTTTTGTCGCGAAATGGTTTTTCGTGGGGATTCGATCGGAGGAACGGAGCGTTGGTACCGGGCGAATAGCGGTAGCGCTCCGGTAACTGCGCCGCTACACGTTTCACCGCGCGTAGCGCTGTTCTCCTGAAATCTTCGCCGCCGAGACGAGGATCAGGCCAGGAGTCATGCTCGTCCCACCTCGCGGGCGTAGCCTACGCCTAGATGCATCGTACTCCCAGAACAGTCCATAGCCTCAGTAGGGTAGGACACCCTCCATAGCCAAAACCTCGGCACTAAGCCGAGCAACGGAGGAACAGCTTCAAGCGACCTCCCTCCTTCATCAGCGCTGAAGTACAGAGAGTAGAAGTTAGGTATGATGTTGGAAAGAGTGGACATGTCAGTGTGACCATCTGATCTCGTGGAGCAATCCTAATACCCTAATCTGGCAACGGAATGTGTACACACCTCCGAACGAAGGAAGTTTCGGAGGAACGGAGTCTAGAGAAAAAAAAAAAAAAGAAGTGTAGGATGTACCTACCCGATTTCCAGTCCGAACTCTCACATGAATGGGCCGATCCTCGCGTTACTCATCGCGGTAACTGTCACTTACCACGAGCGGAGTGAAAGTATCCAGTGTCTCACGGTTGGAGGAACGGAGTCTAGAGAAAAAAAAAGTGTAGGATGTACCGACCCAATTTCCAGTCCAAACTCTCGCATGAATGGGCCTATCCTCGCGTTACTCATCGCGGTAACTATGACTTACCACGACCAGAGTGAAAGTATCCAGTGTCTCACGGTAGGGGAAATTCGGTTTCTGTCTACTGGAGGACAAGGATTTGTTCCAGCACCAGCACCTCGTGGATGCATTCTGACCTCAGTTACTCGCAATTTCGCAAAGTCACACGATCTGCCAGTTCACGATGCTTTTACTGAGGTAATTATCATATTATGAGCAGAACGAAGCACTTGTACTGGTCACGATAAAGGCATAGTAATCAGGAAAGGACGGTTGGAATATGAGGTTGGTGCGCCTCGTAGATGCATTCCGACCTCGATTACTCGCAAGCCATGCAACCTGCCAATTCAGACTGCTATTACTGAGGTAATTATCATAATACGTGCAGAACGGAGCGATTCTACTGGTCACGATAAAGGAATAGTAATCAGGAACAGACAGAAGGAATGGGAGGATTATGTCGTACGAATGGCCGGAATATTAGTTTGGCTGCATTGAGGTAATCATCCCTCACCACGAGCGGAAGGAATCTACGCTACTCAACTAGGCACGTCAGAAGGTAGGTAGGAAAGAAAATTAGTGGAAGATAGAAGACTTTCCGCTCCATCGCTTCGGAAGGCAAACAGGCAAAGGCTAGACAAAGAGAGAGAGAGAGAGAGAGAGAGAGAGAGAGAGAGAGAGAGAGAGAGAGAGAGAGAGAGAGAGCAAGAGAGAAATTCTCTCGAACGAGAAAGAAGGGGAAGACCTCGTCAACGAAGTAACCAGGACGGGATGAATGAAATGCCGAGCGGGAAGACAGGAACCGGGCTCAGCAGGGAGGAAGTAGTTAACAGGATCAAGCAGTTGGTGGTTTGAATCGTAATCCAACCCCCATGTACAACACTGAGCCTGATCAAGTTACTGCCATCCACTGAAGAGTCAGTACCACGATCTACTCCACTCCCCCAGGCTGCTGTTGTTCAACACTTAGGCGAAAGTTATTCCCTTTAGCACAAAGGTACAGCACACTCAGTGGCGATCTGGTACCTAGGAAGCTAGGAGCCCTCCTTGCGACCCCTGAATAGGTCGGTGCAAATGGAACCAGATCGGAGTATGGGAATGGCCCAGCTAGGAGCAATTGGCAGATACATTCCACCAACTATGAGGACAATCAATTATCAACGAGCGGAAAGAGATCGAAGAACAGTAGCCAATGGACCGAGCGGACCACCAATTAGACAGAGCGATCCTCAGGAGGCAGCAGACAGAGTACGAGCGTTAGTGGAAAGGTGTTATGACGAGGGCATTTGCCCGGACGGACTGGATCTGGGTGAAGTCGTAGAGGATGAGCAAGGGAAACGTTTTGTAGTTCATGACGAGATTGACAACATCAAAGAAAGTTGGCTGAAAGAACACACGGTTATAATAGTGTTCCAAGAAGAAGCAAGACATCTATCAAGACAAGTCAAGGAGGACCTGATAACTTGTGATAAGAGCTCACGAAGACGGATGGATGTCACAAACGATTTTCAACCTAGAAAAAGGTAGAGGCAGAATCAGAATTGAGGGGCAAAATGTGGCTTCATACGTAGCTAAAGCCATGGAAGTGGCAGACTCACTGTTGAGATCAAGAGAAGTCAAGTTGAAGCTAGGTCCGAACGAATACATAACGGCATTCAAGCCTTGGATGCCGAAGCAGGAGCTCTGGGAACTGAAACTGCAGGAGGCAGAGACCAATTTCTGGATAATAGCATTGCGAATCCCATTGGACGCATACTATTGTCTCCATGGTGCAGTGAGCAGCATGTTCGAAGAAGTATTGGAGATGCACCCGCCAGAGTACGACAAAACAAGACC